CCCCCCCCCCGCCCCGCCCCCCCCCGCCCCTACCATTAGCACCCCTGCTGGCCCTTACACAACCCAGATCTGCCCACGATCCTCCACGGCCCGTGGTCCCCTGCCACCCGCCAACAGCCTGCGGGGCCAGCCTCGAGCACCTACCGTGTGCCAGCACCACGCGGTGACAGAGACACGTCCAAAGTGCCAGTCCTTGTCCAAAGTCAGCCCAAACCTACGCGGGGACTGGAGCGCCAGTGGGAAAGGGCTGTAGAGCTGCTGAAGGCGGGGCGCTGCCCCAGGCGGCCCTGGGCTCCCTCAGTGTCAGCCACCTGCAAGACAGCGCTATTCGTACCACTCTCAGATGCACACAGGACGCTGAGCCCGTGAGGTTGGCGGGACTGGGCAGCGTAAAACCGGGCCCTGCTGCAGGCCCACGAGCCTTGGGCACGCCCCTCCCAGTGTCCCATCACCACCCACAGCCACCCTCTGGCGAGCCAGAAAACCACCACTATTTACAGATGCAGCTGGGGGGGCACTTGTCCCTCTGCCAGGGGACCTTGTTGCCTACACGCCACTGACCCCAGTCAGGGCTGCTAGGGGCCAAGTGCAGGCTCGTCCTCAGGCCACCTCCCTTTGCAGCCTGCTATGTCTTACAACGAAATAACGCAGCCAGCCAAGTAAACATCAGAACGGAGACTCGAGCTGGGAGGTCTGAGTACCGTGGCTTTGGCCCGATGGGCCAGGCAGGCGGTGTTGCAGCCCACGGTGGGAAGGACCGCACAGTCCCACTGGAGGGCTGTGGTGATTGGGAGGTCCCAGTGCTAAACCCCCAAGGCCCTCTGTAAATAGGGGCGGCTACACCCCCCACCCCTGCCCAACACATAGGGCCCAAGGCAGTGGGAGACACTGGCCACGGCCGGGGCTGCCCACTCAGGCACCCAGGGCACTCGCCGGATGCTGCAGTGTGCACCAGGTCACCCTTTAAGAGCAACTCCTGCAGACACAGGCGCTGTCCCAGCACCTCGGCCTCTCCCTGCTTCCTGCCACCTTCTCCAGAATCCGGAAAGAAGCCTCTGCAAACTGCCGGGCCAGGCTGCCCGCAGGAGCCAGCAAGTGGCCGGGGAGAGGGTGCAGAGCTCAGCCCCCGCCGCCCCGAGGATGCATCGGGTGCCGCCTGGCCTTTGCCCTCTTCTCGCCTCCCTTCTGGTCTTCTATTTTATTTTACTGTAAGTTATTACAGTTTGTTCATTTATTTCTTTCACGAGCAGCAAGGAGGCAGCGCTCTCAACGGGGTCTCGACACCGTGATGGCCCCAGCCCTCCCCCCACACGCACACTCAACAATCTCGGGGGGCTCTCCAGACTCGAACCTGAGACCTTGCCATGTGCGCCTGTCTTGCAGAGCGTCTGACTGCACTGCTGTGCCACAGTCTGGCCCCTGGCCTTTATTTTTTAACGTATCCAGCACAGTGGACGGTTGTTTGCAGGACAGTCACATGAGATTTCTAGCACGCAGATTGACGTAGCCACCATCTCTAAGCTGGGACACGGGACAGTTCCATCACCCCCCAAAACGCCCTCATGCTGTCTGCTCATCCCACCACCACCTTCACCTCGGCCACCTCTGACCTTTCCTCTGTCACTTTAGCTGTTTCCACCTTTCCAATCCTGTTAGGTACAGGGGTCATAAAGTGTTTAGCCGTGGGAGTCTGGCTTCGCTCATTCAGCCTGATGCCTTGGACAGTCACTCGAGCTGCGTGCGAAGCAGGCGTCCGTTCCTTCCCACTGGGCAGCCGTGTTCTCTGGGACAGAAGTACAGGCCCCACGCTCGCTGAAGGACAACTAGATAGTTTCCAGTTCATGACGGTTATGAATAGGCTGCTATAAATATTCGAGCACAGGTTTTGCAGGGCCATATGTTTTTATTTCTCTGTGGTAAACACCCAGGCACGGGATTGCTGCGTTGCACTATCGATCCATGTGTAACTCTAGGAAGAACTGCCACGCTCATTCCTCAGAGGGACCATCCCACTTTGCACCCCCCGGCAATGCAGCATTCCAGTTCCTCCCTGTCCTCGTCAACACTTAGCATGGTCGGTCACCATGTTAGCCTTTCTCTCAGGTCCCCTCGGTTTTGCAGCCCTTCTCGGCAAGCCACACGTGGCCCTGACTCAGTCCTGCTTTGCCCCTTACTGGCTCTGTGACCTTGGGCAACTCTCGAGTGCTCTGTTTTCCATCTGTAAAGTGGAACTGTAATTCCCACCGTCTAAGGACCTTGGGCAAAAAGAGAAGCTTGGTCAGAGCACTCAGCACAGCACCTGACATTGAGATGAAGCCACTGCAGTTCAGTTCCGTCTCGGAGTCAAGTATGGGGGAGGTGGGACAGGGCCCCAGCCCCGATGGAGCTCACAGCTAGAACAGAGGGGGCGCGGATCTGGAAGCCGCAGACAGAGCACGCACTCCTCCCCCCAGCACCAGCGTCCGCCTTGGCGACACAGAAACAAGCGCCTTGCTCTTCCCCTAGAGCCGGCCTAACGGCCAGAAGGTGCCCCGGGAAAAGCCAGCTAACCACTTGAGCCTTCTGGTCAACAGCTTAACTGCTGAGACCAGCTCTGGGTTCAGATCCCAGGTCTACCTGTGCGCCCGTGGGATGCACATCTCTCTGTGCCTCAGTCTCCCCATCTGAAGCTGGGAAACAGGTGGTCCTACTTCATAAGAACGCCGTGAGAATAAAAGATGTGATCTCTGTGGAGTCCCTGGGGCAGTGCCTGGGCCGTGGAGAACACTCGGTGAACGAGGACAACCGTGAGAGCTTTTCTACGGCTCATGCAAACCGTGTACTACGGAGAAACTATGCGTGTGCTTCAAAGTGTTTTTGCATCAAAATAAACTCACACTTTAATTCCATCTTCCCACAAATTTTCTGAGGCTCCCTATGTGGCAGGCTCAGGCCAGCTAACCTGGCCTTTGTACACTTTTCCACCCCTTTGGGCCAAGCCCCCAGACCTCTGTCCCAGGGCAACGGGCCGGGCTGCATCAGTGACCCACTTCCAGAGCTGGCGTTAGAGGGGCTGCTTTCCTCTGCCGGGTAGCCCCTCCCCAGCAGCACATCCCCCCACAGTCCCCTCTGTGGACAGGCCTGTGCTGGCAACAGCTGCCAGGCACAGCCGGGGCTGGCTCCGAGCAGGGGCCATGGTGCCCTGGGTGGTACCACTCATGGGTGGCACACGCTCTACCCACAGGCACTGCCTTCACCCAACTGGGCTGGTGGGCCGCTCAACCCACCCCAGGCTCAGCCCAGCATGGAGCTCAACACCAACCAAGGGCCCCTACGACTTCCCAGGGACAAAGGGCCCAGGAAATCGATCTCTATCTATGTGGGGAGAGGGCCCCCACATACTGATTGCAATATAATGAGCTCTGTCCCTACTTCACCCCGGAAACGGGGCCCTCCCACACTCACATCCCCCCCCAGCCCCCAAAACCCACTCTCACAGCAAATCACACCCCCTCAGGTCTGCCCCGCCCCTCCCTCCCCTTCAAGGCCAAGGCCACTCCAGTGCTTATTCTACCTAAGGAGGACAGAGGGTGCCTCCGCCACCCCACCCGTGCACCCTGGCCAGACGCTGGGTTCGGGGCAGGCTGACCTGGGTCCTCACCTTGATTCTGTCCTCTAACCAGTCAGACGGATTTCAGCAAAATCCCCTGATCCCCAGCGTCCGTGTCCCCCTGTGAAATGGGCGTGATGAGAACGCCCGCTTGGCAGACGCGCTGGTGGGGAGAGTGAGGGAATGCAGGGGCCCCTGCTGCCGAGTGCCCTGCTCACGAGGGGCCTGCCCTCCCTCCACTTCCCTTTCTTCACTCAGCCATGCACGGTGGAACAAGCCCGCTGGGCAGGGCCATTAGGCTTCCTGTTCCACCCTGCGGCCCTCGGAAGGGCCTCTGGGCTTCCCCAGACGCCCGGCTGCTGGGAGGCTGGGCAGGAAGCAGAGCCCCTCCCACACACACCCACCTGCCAGGCTAGGAGAGGGGGAAACGTGCCCCCCAGTGCCCCCGGGCCCTGCTTCTGCCGTGGCCAGCCTCTCTAACCTCAGTTCCCACTGAGCCCACAAGTCACTGTCCCTTGACGAGGTTTCATGCCCAAGCAGGAGAGTCCTTTCAGCGCTGCGGTTCCTGCAGGCCATCTCCACAAGGCCCTCCACCCGGGTTCCCAGGCCAGCGCCAGCTCCTCCTCTGCACCCCCAGGGATCTGAGCCAGCGGCCACGGGCCACTCCAGCCTGCGCTCCTGGTCACTCCGCAGCACTCTGGCCAAGCAACCTAAAGGCTGGCGTCACACTCCCCTGCCCCCCCACGGCCAAGGCGCACAGGGGGCATTTGGCCAGCACCAGTGGCAGGAAACAGGCTAAGGGAACAGGCCACCGAGTACAACTGGACATTTGCAATCTTGTCCGCTAAGCATGGCAGGCCCAAGGGAGGCTGGGCCCCAATCCCATGCCTGGCAGAGCAGGAAACAGAGGCCCAGAGGGCCAGGACCTGCCCCAGGTAGGGAAGGGGATTTGCGGTCAGGCAGAGCGGGGCCCCACCCGGCCACACCCCGGGTCAGGAGGCCTTGGGCGGGCTGCTGGGCCTCCAGGCCCTCGATGCCAGAGTGGTGCCCCACTCGGGCGGCAAAGGCACCTGGAGAGTGGATGCCAGAGCTCTCAGCAGAGGGTCTGGCGAGGGCTGTCTGGAGATGGGAGGTCAGAGAGCTGGACGAGATGACAGTGTCAGACCGGACACTGCCCGCCTCGGACAGCTGCAGCCACGGCAGGGACGCCACCGCAGGGCGGGTCCTGTGGGTTCCACGCTCTGCACCGGCGCCAGCTGCTGGTACGTGACAAGCTCCCCAAACATTCCTGATTGAATTAGGGAGCCAGGAGGGGTCAGAGGCCCTCGGCAGGCCATAGCTGCTCCTGGCAGTCCCTTACCAGAGCCTCCTCTCCTCCTGGTGGGCAGCCGAGGCCAGGGAAGAGCACCTCCCAATAGTGCCCGGTGACAGCAAGGTGACGGGGACTACAGAGCCAAAGTCCCCAGAGGGTGAACCAGGCCAGAGAACCAGGGACCGCCCAAAGGGACAGTGTCAGCGGAGGATGACAGTCTGGGGGTAACGGGTTTTTTTTTAACATTTATTTATTTCTTTACTGTGATTTTGGGCCTGCTGCCTCAAATCCCAGTTCTTTCTCTTAATTGCTCTGTGGCCCCGGGAATGTCACTTAACCTCTCTGGGCCTGTGTCCTCATCTGTGAAACCAGGCCGCTCCTCAGCTCACAGGTTTGTGGTGAGGAATAACGAGGAGACGCGGCTGGCCTGGCACCAGGCGTGGGCTCCAGAAGGGACAGCAGCTGACGGCCACCCAGGCAGTGCAGGCGGCAGGTCAGAGGGGACTGGGCATTGCGCCCATGCAGATCCTTAAAGACACCCCCAATGCCCTTTCTCCTTCCCAGGAAACCTGGTTTCCATAGTAACAGGTGGACTGCAGCGCTGGCCCCAACATGGACACTGTGCCCATGAGGGCAGGCTGAGATCCCGACCAGCAAGGGGAGCACCCACCAGTGGCAGAGTCCCTGAGCCTCCGTAGATTCGGGCAGGGGCGGGGGCCGTCACTGCTGCTGAGCCCCTCGGTCAGAAAGCCCCTTCCTTCCCACAGACACCTATCCTGCCCCATCTTCAAGGGGGACAGCCAGGACATCTGTCCCAGGCCGCCCGGGTGTGTGGGGGGGAGTACTCCAGTACAGGAATCCACAGTAAGCCCTACCACGGCCAAGCATGGCAACACTGTCACCCCCACTCCAGGAAGCTAAGGCCCAACTAACTATGTAGGTGTCCCCTGGGATAAATGGCAGAGCTGGAATTTAAGCCAAGTCACCTCTGCCTTAACTGGACACCCCAAGAGGAGCTGCATGTGTGTGTGTGTGTGTGTGTGTGTGTGTGTGTGTGTGTGTGTGTAGGTTGGGGAGGGGGTGCTTGGTGAGCTTGACCCTACCGCCCCCAGAGAGAACCACGCACTAAGTCCTCTTCCCCATGGCCTCTCCCCTGGAAAGTCCCTGGTGGGCCGCCAGCATCTGAACTCCTCCCTGGGCCCCTCTCCGGGGTCCGGCCTCCCTGGGTTCAGGCCCTGCCACTGCAGCGGGACCTGGCAAGGAACGCAGGGAGGCGCACTGTTCTGTTACCACAGAGCGAAATAGCGGAAACGGGTCTGGGTCGGGCTGCACCGGGAGGGGGGCAGTGGGGTCGGAGCCTCTGGGCTGTGGCCAGGACGAGAGAGCGGGAGAAGGCCTCTGCCCCCTGGGGACCTGGTGCTCAAGGGTCCAAAGCCTGCATCACCCACCCGTCTGCGGTCTCTTCCATGGCGGCCCATCAGCCCCTTGGGCAAGATGGAGTCTAAAGACCGCCAGCCCAGAGCCCACTGCCTAGGCTCTCGGGCGAAGGGGACCCCGCACGTCAGAGTTGTGACAGAGACCTGAGGGCAGGGGGCCAGCTCAGCCGGTGCTAGCCTTTGAGGCAATTCACCTCTCTAGGAAGAAGCCCCATTCCTGCGACCGTCTGACTCGTGGGAGTCAGAGCTAAGCCTCCAGTCCCGGGGACAGAGGAGGCCGCGTCCACACCGTGCATTTCAGACACCGTCCCAGTGGCCCTAACCTCGGGCTGCAGGTTTTGTCGGGGGATCCCCGGGCATGCGGGGCAAGGGCAGAAACTGAGGCCGGGCTGCCCTGCTGGGCCTTGCTGACTCCTGCAGGCTGGCTGTCAGTCAGTCCCTCGAGGCTGAGGGCGAGAGCGTAATTGTTCCAGAGGCCCGGCTGCCTTAGTCAGCCTCGTCCCTCAAGTCACAGTGAGTCAGTGGGGGCGGAGCCGCATCATCGTCTCATCATCCCAGCATCACCGCTGGGCTCTGTGTAGGGCTCTGTGTCGAGGCTGTGCCAAAGTGAGGATGGCTCAGTAGCCGGGGGGTGGGGAGTCCGAACCCCTTGGTGGCAGCAGCAGTGGCCAGCCCAGTCCCCACGACAGAGCTTCGTGGTCCGAGAACGCAGTCCATGCCCCATTTCCAAGGATCTCCAAGAATAGAACCCTGGAAGCTGTCGGCAGAGGGTTTGCCCCAAAGATGGAAGGCTGGCAGGTGCAGCCTGAGTCCCTGGGCTCAGACAGGACAGCTGAGGTCACCACTGTTTCAGTCTCTGGAACTCAGTTCCCAAGTCTAAAGAAATGGGGGTGTGGTCCCTAGGTCCCACCCTGGCTCTGGGACTTGTGTTTCGGCTTCCCGAGCCTGAGTCTGGCCCGCCATGCTCAGGCCACACACCCCGAGTCCTGTCACCTCCCTTGCTGCCTGGCCTGACACATTTTTTCGCTTTTGAGGGTCCCCAGTCCCTGGGAAGGCAGAGGAAAGCCCAAACTTCCAACACAAACATCTCCAAAGCGTCAGCCAAAAACCAAACACTCCTGGCTGCACTGGAGAGGGTGAGAGGTCAGGGCAGGGCAGGGGACAGGAGGGGACATCCTTGGAGGCCTTCCCCAAGGGCCTGAAGCTACTGCTATGTGCAGGGGTGGGGGTGGGTCTAGCCCTCTGACCACCACCCATTACCACTCAGAAGTCACCAAGAAGGGCCTTCCTGTCCCAGCTGTCACTCACAAAGGGCAGAGCACACGGCGATTTCCTGTCCTTTGCAACCTGGAGGGTGGCCAGTCTCCCCCTCAGCCCAGTGACCGTGTCAGGGCCCCTAAGGGCAGCTGGTGCTGTCATCGGGCCAGCCTGGCTTCCGGATCCCGTGGGGCCAGGGCTCTGGGGAGAGCACAGCAGCACCCCACCCCCTCCTGGTGGCAGCTCAGGAACTTGGAGGGGGAGGAGAGGAGGGTGGGAGAGGAAAGGAGTTTCCTGGAAGGAATGCGCCACCATTTTCAAAAGCAAGTGGTCTTCTGAGGGGGTTGAAGGAGGCAGGTGGGGGTCCTGTACTTTTGCCAGGACTCAGATGGGTCAGAACCACTGCCTAGGACTGACCGTTTCCGCGGTCTTTGGGGTCCTGGCTTAGTAACTAAAGGCATGAGCCATAACTCTAAAGACCTCTGCTTAAATCTCGGCTCTGCCACCCCTGGCTGCACGGCCTGAGGCCTGGCCTCTGCCTTTCTGGGCCTCAGTGTCCACATCCATTAAAGGGGCGTAAGGGCGATACCTACCGCACAGACAGGTGTGCAGAAAACAACCCGGCCAGCACCCAGCCTGAGTAAATGCCCAGGAGCGATGCTGCCCTGTCATTTACAGACCAGGAGACCCAACCCCTTCGCCTCAGTTTCTCGAATGACCAGGCCAGCCTCAGAACAGGTCCCCTTCCAGGGACCATGTGCCGGTACAGTGGGGTGCTGGGGCGTGGCCATAGAAGGAACTGGGGTGAAAACAGGGCCACTTGGGTCAGGAGGAAGAACTACCCTCTGGGAACAGGTGGGCAGGGAAGACCCTGGGAGGGGCCAGCAACTGGTCCCAGGACATCTGGGGCCCTCTGAGGCACTAAGCCTGGTGGCTCTGTCCATGTCCCGGTGCTTGGCCAGGGCATGGCCAGGGCCGCGGAATGGGAGGCTGAGATGCCGGTGCAGGAAAGGTACCACGGTCGGGAGTCAGACACCAGACACCTGCCCTGCAGCCGCCGCTCCTAGACTGTCCTGGGGTGACACAGGTGCTCTCTGAGCCTCACTGCCTCCTCTGTGCATGGGGGCCCCCTTCACCCCTTCTCAGTCCGGCCTCCAACGTCTTCCCGCCCCACCTCCTCCCGGCTGTGCAGCCCCAGGCTGTGAGCTGAAGCTTCCCTGCAGGCTCTTTCCTTCCTCCAGCCTTCCACACAGCTCGCTCCCTCACCTCCTCAGGGAGGCCTCCTGGACTACCCTAATTAAAATGGCAACCCCGCCCTGCCGGATGTCAGCTGCTAACTTCCTGTGGCAGGTGTGAACCCACCCCACCTGAGGTGTAAGCTCCAGGACAGGCAGCTGACACCATCCACAACTATCTCCACTGCAGTGCTTACAGACCTTGGTTGAATGAGAGGAGGAAAGAATAGCCCACGGCTGTGAATATGGGGGCCGGCTGTGAATATGGGGGCCACTGCTCAGCGGGCCTCCTCCTCTACCCTCTGGAGGGCAGGCCCTTCTCCAGGAGGGCGAGGCTAGCCTAAGGACTGAGGAAGCAGGCAGCAGGCCTGGAGAGGGGTGGGGCTGGAGCAGGGCTCACGGGAGAATTGGTGACTGGGAATGGGGGGCGTCTCCAGCCACCTGTGTGTCCCCTGCCCACTCCACACCCTAATGGGGCTTGGGTGTGGCCCGAGTTTTAGACTGCTCCTGCCCAGTGCAGCCCTGGGGACCAGGGTCTCACCCAGCCAGGCCTGGGGTAAGGGGCTTTGGCCTGGGCTCTCACCCTAAATGTAGATGAAGCTGGCAGCCCTGGGGCAGAGCAGTGGGGCAGGAGGGGACCTGGGACAGACGGGACATCAAAGCCCTGGAGAGCGTGCGTCTTACTACCAAAGCTCCAACAAGAAACTCTCCCCTTGTCTTGGGTCAGCCTGGGGCTCTAAGAAGGGGTGCACAGTGCCCCCTCCTGGCTCGCCAACAAAACGCCCCTCCCTCCCCTTATCCCTATTACCCCCCTCCCCCCGTGTGTCCCCAGGATCTGCTGGCTGCAGGTGGTGGCCCCCTCTGCCAACAGGCCCGCACGGTTGGGACCAGCATCGCTGCAACCCCGGGACTTCTCCCCACAGACCCGACCCAATCAAAAAAAGTTCGTCTAAAAGAAACCAACCAGGAAGTGCGGGTGGTGCGCGGTGAGGCGCCGGCCTCCGCGGCGGGCGGCTTCAGCGCTCAGGGTCCTCGGCCTCCTCGCTCTCTTCCCCCCTAGGCCTGGAGAGGGGTGGGGCTGGAGCAGGGCTCACGGGAGAATTGGTGACTGGGAATGGGGGGCGTCTCCAGCCACCTGTGTGTCCCCTGCCCACTCCACACCCTAATGGGGCTTGGGTGTGGCCCGAGTTTTAGACTGCTCCTGCCCAGTGCAGCCCTGGGGACCAGGGTCTCACCCAGCCAGGCCTGGGGTAAGGGGCTTTGGCCTGGGCTCTCACCCTAAATGTAGATGAAGCTGGCAGCCCTGGGGCAGAGCAGTGGGGCAGGAGGGGACCTGGGACAGACGGGACATCAAAGCCCTGGAGAGCGTGCGTCTTACTACCAAAGCTCCAACAAGAAACTCTCCCCTTGTCTTGGGTCAGCCTGGGGCTCTAAGAAGGGGTGCACAGTGCCCCCTCCTGGCTCGCCAACAAAACGCCCCTCCCTCCCCTTATCCCTATTACCCCCCTCCCCCCGTGTGTCCCCAGGATCTGCTGGCTGCAGGTGGTGGCCCCCTCTGCCAACAGGCCCGCACGGTTGGGACCAGCATCGCTGCAACCCCGGGACTTCTCCCCACAGACCCGACCCAATCAAAAAAAGTTCGTCTAAAAGAAACCAACCAGGAAGTGCGGGTGGTGCGCGGTGAGGCGCCGGCCTCCGCGGCGGGCGGCTTCAGCGCTCAGGGTCCTCGGCCTCCTCGCTCTCGTCCCCCCTCCATCTCTCCCGCAGGGAATGCCCCCCACCATGCAAACCACCCCTCCCTATCCCACCCACCGTCTGGGTGCGAGGCAGTGGCGGGCGGTAGGGATGGGAAGCGGCGAGGGAGGGTAAGCCAGGGAACCCATCCTGAGCGCCCAGCCCTGCGGGGCGTGTAGGGGTAAGCGTGGCGTCTGGCCCTTCCTGGGCAGACAGTCCACCCCCGGTGGGTGCGCGCTGTTTGCCAGCAGCAGGGGGCCCCGGCCCGCCCTGTGCCAGGCCAGTGCCCCTACACTATCCCCTTCCTGCCCAGCGCGCCACTCTGGGGAGAGCGCGGAATGGGGGCGGGGGGCGTCGCCTGCCCACCCCCCCCCCTAGTCGCGCGGCCTGAGTGTCTGCCTGCTCCAGTCCAGCCGGGACCCCCGGGCTCCCCCAGCCTTACCCCTCCCCCTCCAAGCTGTCTCTATCTCCTGGCTCTAGACACTCACCCACTTTCTGAGACTCAGCCTAAGGGCTGGGGTCCTCGGGCAGGGAGCTCCGGGCTGTAAGGCGCGCCCCGCGTCCTCCGGCTCAGCCTCTCCGCCCCCGGCCCCCCGAAACCAGAAGGTCGGGCCAGACTTGCGGACAGCAGGAACTCCGCCACCACCTGCGTCCGCAGCCCTGCGGGGGCGGGGAGGAGGCACTCGCAAGTTTGTGCCGCGCTCGCCTCCGGCCAGGGAACAATGGCATGGGGGAGGGGACGGAGAAGCGAGCGCGGGGACAGTCGGAGCCCGGCGGGGGGGAAACTGCTTTGCGCTCCTTTCTCTCTTGCGGGAGGCAGAGCGGGAGCCCGAGAGGCGGAGGCCGGGGGTGAAATCCAGTCCCTCAGCCAGGAGGCGGCGGAGGGAGAAAAGCGGGGAAGAAAGGGAAACCGAGTCAGAGGCGGCGCAGCGAGGGGACAGCGAAGGGGAGGAGAGAGGGGGCTGCCGGATGGCGCTTTAAAGAGCCGGGCGAGGAGACCGCCGGGGTCCCGGCACCGTGCGCGAGGGCTGAGACGTCCTGGGCGCCCGGCTGGCGCGCACCGCGTCCTCACTGCCCCCCGCGGTCCCCGCGGCCGCCGGAGCCCGGCCAGCTGC